ATGCCCCTACCTCCCGCGCGTCTTCGAAGCAAGAAAATATGTCCACGTTGCCGGGATTCTTTTCCTCCGCGATCATCCATGCGGAAAGATCATGTGCAGGGGCGAGCTATGCACGCGCGTTCTCTGCTTAACCCTTTGACTACTGTGGGCGCCTAAGAGAGCTTAGAAATCTAAAAGGTGCCTAAAGGTGCTCGAAAGTCCCTTTTGCTGTTAAATTTTAAGTATATACGGTAACAATTTAATACGGTAACACGAAGGAATAGATAACGTTGTTTTAATTTAGTGGAATATAATGTCTTGGTTATTATTTATTTATTTATTTATACGGGATTAATCCATTAGAAAAATTACAAGAAAATTATTACTCCATTCGGAATTCCTTAATAACAACAGCCAAATTACGTATGGATTCCCTCGCACCAAGGAATCCGAGGCAATGAATCTGCAGACAAAGCCTCTAAAGAAGCACTTAGTATACCTCCATCTGACACCATACCTATACCTTACCGTGACTATCAGAAAGTATTAGCATCTCGAATCAAACAAACTTGGAACCTCGAATGGAACTCTAAGAAACCAAGTAAATTAAGTAATAGTTCCGATGACTTCTTCGAAAATGGAATAGGAAAACCTGCTAACAGAAGAGACCAAGTCGTACTGAATAGGATCCAGATCGGACATTCCAGAATTACACATGAACATCTTCCAGTACCAACATCCCTTAACCATCGAACATACCTTATTTTACCGTAAGGAATACGAGGCTTCACGAACCCAGGCAAAGGTTCCTAACTCGATAAAAGAAATCTTCAACGACACTGAAAACGCCAATAACACTCTCAGATTCATTCAACGCAACAAGCAATTGTATGAATACATTTAGTACCTACACCTGACGGTTGTCGATGCGACGTTAAGCCCTCAATTAAAAAATGAAAAAAAGAGAAAATTATTACAGGGAGGTATAAAATTAATGGTAACAAATAAAAATAAAAATATACAAACAGACGAGATGTGTATAAGTATAAGAAAAAATATGTTTACAAAGAGGTGCAATGTAGCAGCTGTTTTATAGAATGAAGAGATTGGCTAGATTGAATAGATCTAGGATAGGATAAGTGAATAACCTACTGTTTTGTAGGTAAGAATGCCTTCTTTGCTATTTTTCATAGAACACGTGATAGATTATAGTCCCCGACGATAATTAGTACTGATTTGGTGTTAGAAATATATTATATCTTTCACTACTTGAACATATGATGCCTAAACAGAGAAGTCAGCACCTGAAGATAAATGAACAGCACGGAATTATTCGAATATACGATAATTTTTCAGAAATGCATATCTAACGAAAGGTTTCACCGTTCTCGGTGTACATCGCAAATGGATTCGTTGAAACCAAGAAAGGACAATCGGCTACATCACTATTGTCACGTAACTGAACTAATTACGTATGTCACGATATCTGTATATCCTGAAAGGAGTGGGAATTCGTTAGACATATGGAACCGTGTGGCTGCTGGGTCTGGATTTGTTATCGAGAAGTCGTTTGTAATAGATATGAAGTATACATTTGCGATAATTATCATTTAAGTGCATTTGTCCAGATTAAACAGTGCATTCATTCCGCCACGCATCAACAGAATTACTATGAGAATTACTAGGATAATATGGCTAGTGTGTTTCAAAGTCTGACATAGTCAAAGGTTCAATTCCTCCGTTGTTCCTGGAAACCCTTATCGTCCGACTCGTGCTTACGAAACACGCGAATGGATACGCGGGCACACCGACATTATTTCCCGCAGTCGAGGTTGGTGGTCATCGATGCAACCGGTCGCTCGCGTCACCGCGGCGCGGCCATGAAAAGTGCTCGCGAACTTCCGGTGTCCGGAAGCACGGGTCACGTAAGGAATCTGTGCACGAAATCAGGGAGTCACTTCTCCAGGGGCCTGCTTACTCGCAAGTACGAGTCCACGTGGTCGCGAAACCACGTCCTCTTCTTATCGCGAGGAGCATAAACCGCGATGGCTCTGTGCAGGCTGGTACAGATCGGCGAGAAGGATCGATCTCGCCGGTGCTTTTTCCAATCGGAGCCGATAGCATTAATATTTTATCGTCGCTCGCGTGGGAACGGGTCTCGCTTTTTCCGCCGCCAAGTGGAAATTCCGTCTTCCGCTCTATTCACTCGTATTCCGCGTGCTCTGTTCCTTTTTTTTCCTGACAACGAACGCGTAACTGCCGTTCTTTTTTCCCTCCCCCGGCCCTCTTATCCGGTTCCCTTTTCCGTCGCTCATTCGTTAATTGGTTTCTCTTCTCCGGGGTAAATATCGAGGCAGCGCTGTTACCGGGACAATTGCGCCGAAAGTTGGCGTTAGTAGGTCGACGTGCAAGCGTTACTCGATTTACGAACGATCAAACGGCGGTCGTGTTGCAGCACGACCACTTTTCCAGCGGATCCGATCGCTTTATCGACGCGCGCTCGCGCCCACCTGCGGCGACCATCTTGTTCTCCGGGCGCACGATCGATCCTCGCATTTGCGACGCAGAGTATCGAGTGTCTTTGACTTATTTCGCGACATGTAAACGGTACCATCGTAAGAACGTTGACGAGAGGGCTAGTTGGATCGAGAGCTAAGTGATTGATGGCGAGAAAGACGAGTTTCCGTGTAATATCGCCTGTAAAATGGCGGCTTTTTAACGCGTTAAACGACACGCCGGTTCCTAGGCCTGTGAGCGCTATGAACGCATATATATGGGTACTCGCACAACCATTCGATTTGAGCTATGAACACACATATGGGTTCTCACAGAATCATTCAATCTGGGGTATGAACGCAGTATAGTTTTATAAAATAAGAATAAAATAAGGAATTTCAGTCAGCGAAGCATACACTTCGTCGTAAAAGATAGACGATCCACAGCACACGCTTAACACTAGAACTATCGATCTTTAATGGGTACCTACTCTGCGTTGCAGGAAAGACGTCATCTGAGAAACTTGTAGGACCGAATCCCCACCAGCCCAACCATTCTAACATCATGGCAGAAGTAGAGTAAAACGCTTCCCTTATTGATAGAACTGATCCTTTCCTATTAGCCCGGTCATAGAACACCATGTGACAAGGAATGCGAACAAAGCAACGAGACAAAGTGAGACAAAGTGAGACAGAGACTACGCAAGAGCGTAGACTCATCCCAAAGCGTAGTAATGCTACCAATTCATTGTAAGCTAACTCTGAGATAACATTTCTTTCGCTGATATCTTACGCCTGTGTTAGCGTATCACGTTAACCAACTTGGAGATACTAGTTTTGGGAGTGTCATGGAAGATTGGGTATTACTAACGAGAGTATAGTCGGAGCAAGTGGAATACTCCTCTTGCCACGCAAACGAACGAGATGACTTCTTTCCTGCAACGCGGAGTAACTATAACCTGCACAGATTATAGTAATTTCAGCGGTACGATGAATATGAGTGAATATATTGATTACAGATCTTTCTTAATACGAGTTGATACCAATTTTATTCTTAAAGCAGGTGTATGTGTTCGGTGATTGCAAAAAGGAAGATTTTGGAACCAGTCATTTTGACTGGGTTGGTAGTTCTAGTGTTAACGTCGCACTACCTAACCTAACCTAACCTAACCGACACTAGACTCTCCGTTCAGGCCTCGTACGGCTCGGAAGGGCCCGCATGATGGCTAACTATGGCGTGAACGAAATTGTACGGAAAACCAGCATGGCGTTTAACGTGTTAACCTACGCTTCGTGATCGATGCGTATTTGAGTAGGCAAATTTGATATCTCGTTTCCATAGCACGAGGTTTTACGAGGCGTTTGTGGTAGTTCTAGGAATCCCTGCAAGTGACCTCCCGAGTTTCCGTTTATTATTTTCAGTCAATTGTATCCGTCGAAACTAACCAGCGTAATTTCGTTCAGAGACGACGTATGTTTACGAATGTCGTGTGTTGATAGAAGAGAGCGAGAGAAAAGGACGCGAGACCTAGGAAGAGGTGTTCTAACCAGTCGAGACTAGATCGCCGTTCAAGGCAGAGTGAAAGTGAAAATTAAAAGTGAAATTCGAGCAATTATTGCAGGTACGTATACATATATTATTTTAATTATTATAATTATTGATATTAAGTTGCTTTCTGTCTAAGTTTGTTCCTCTTCTACTTTTGTATAATTATTCTATGTATTATATATGTATATATTCGGCTAAAATTCCAACAATATGCAAATTTTTAATTGGGATTCTTTGGTTTAATCACCGAAAGAAATTCGGAAGAAGAACCGGGAAATACTAATATCGATAGGAATTCACTGATATTCAATTCACAAACGATCTTGACCATACTCAATGGCTTTTGTATAGACTACTATAACGTCGAGAATAGGGAGAATTTTATAGAATAGTTGACTTGGGATTAGGATTATTTTTACGTTCAATATCTAAGTATCTCGTTAGTAGGAATACTTCAGATTCTTAACCCTTTGCACTCGAGGACTATTTCGTTACAGAGAAATAGTAATTCGAAGACTTCCTGTCATAGAGTCGAGGATATTTTTAAAATGGTAAATGAGACATCATACGCAAATTAAAACGTTGAATTATTTTTCTTCGACATTCCACGCATTGTTAGGTAATTTTAAGTTTGATATATTAATTAACGTCGATCTTTAGAATCTGATTAAATGGTGACTGAGAGTCACCTCTCGAGTGCAAAGGGTTAATATATTTCATTAGAGAATGCGCGTTATAAAAATAGTGCGAAATCGCGTATCAGTGATAACGACAAGTAAAAACAGTATGTATTTACTTACCTTACAATTAACCGGATGTAGCCTTGCAATGTGACGTTGACTGTTCAACCTTGATTCTGGGACTGGATCACAGGTTCTGTAGAATCGCCTCCAACCATCGATTCAGGGAAAATCCATGCACGTGATTCCAGATATCCCGAACAGGATCTCGTAGACTCCAAACTGTATCGTATTGATTCCCACGTATCTGAAAAGAATTAGACGTTTCTCGTTAAATAAGACGAATTTTGTAAAATAAATCTTCATGTAACCCAACTCGATTATCTCGTAGACTCCAAACTGTATCGTATTGATTCCCACGTATCTGAAAAGAATAGACGTTTCTCGTTAAATAAGACGAATTTTGTAAAATAAATCTTCATGTAACCCAACTCGATTACTATTTTCAACGCCATATTTCTTCCCGTATCCTTCGCGTCGACTCTAAATCTATCACGAATGAGATGAAAGCACAGTAAAATGGGGAAATTGGAAATAATGAGTGATTAACCCTTTCGCTACCAGCGTCACATATATGTGACGACCTGATTTTCTTACTTGAGCTCGGCGTCACAAATATGTGACGGGTGTTCATTATCAGTTTATGACAATTGTTTGCACCAAATCGTGTTGCACACAGACGGATTATGTTATAAAACAATAAAATAGATACAGGATATTATTGGTCTGGCGACAATTATTTTTTTAAAAAAGATCTGGGCATCACAAATTTATGCTACGTGTTGTTTATCAATAATTTTTAATTGGTTGCACTAAGTGGTGCCGCAAGTATATTAACTGAGTTATATGTAGAGTTTTTATTTTGCTTTTCCTTTCCAATTTTATTTGTTTCCCTTTAATCAAATGTGTCACAGATATGTGACGACTACCAAAGGAATTATCTCTCTAGCCCAGTGCCACTTATGTGTGTCGGCTTATAAAATTACTAATTTCGCTTAGCTAGAACTTTATAGATACACCCCACAAAAATAAATGACAATTGGTATCATATTTAACCCTTTGCACTCCTTTGTCGAGCGTGACTCGACATTAGTTTTCATCACAGGAACTCCAATGTCGAGTTACACTCGTTCTTCGATTCCTTATTTACTGAACAGGAAAAGAGAAGATAAGTAACTATTTGAATTACTTAAATTCGAAATATAAATCATAACGATGTAACCAAAATTCTTTAAAATAAGTAGCAGTAAAGGAACCGGTCCTATAAAGTAAATTTCAAAGAAAATACTTAAAATAGTAGGGAATTATTGGCAACGAAATTGAAAAATAATTCAGAGTGCAAAGGATTAAATAATAAGACGTCTGGTGGCGGTTTTTCTCCTGAGGCTCTGGTAGCGAAAGGGTTAAGGCGATGAGTGACTAAGGCGACAACTATGAACGCGAAATTTTCAACGAAAGTTTCGAAAACGCTATGTTCAGAGCACGCCCGAGTGATTGGGAGGGCTGACTTTACCTATCTTTATCTATCGCAGTAGAAAATTCGCTGTATTTACCTGCGTATAACTTGTACGAGCGCGCACAGGGGACTAACCTCGGTCGTTCCTCGGAGCTCGCCATACACAATGACCGATGACTGCGTCAAAATCTATAGGCGTCGCTATTTACTCCCGCTCCGACGTTAGGTTCAGTGTTTACCCCGACACCCAGTGAAGCGAGGACGAAACAGAGCGACGAAAACACGTGGAAAGTTCTGGAAACCTATTGTACGGGGTTCCGGAACGAAGCGGAATCGGGTGATGCGCGAGCGCGCATAAGAATGGCGCGTGCGTCGCGCAGGCATCGGATAATGCCGGTTTGGAACGGGAAAAGGCATTGTTCCCTTTTCCCGGCGCAGCTCTCCGCGACATGGCACACTGGCTGACCACGCTTGCATACCGACGCATCTAAAATTACTCACCGGATGCTACGCGCGCCACTGCCGGTTGCGCAATCGACTCGTGCGTGTACGTGCGCGCGATCGCCGTAAGTCGCTTCTCGTTGTCCTGACCGTGCTCGTCATCGCTGGCCCCCTCTGCGTCCCGGGGCCTCGTGACCGCCCGTCCCGTCGCGATCGTGACTCAATCGCGAAGGCACGTACGACTAATTGCTCGTTTGCATGAGAAAAAGAGGTTTCCGGTGCTGACCGACCGATGCGGATCGAATTCACCAGGCCTGGTCGCCGGTGAACGGTAAAGATCGGCAAGGTTCCGCACGCTTATTAATACGTAATTGTTCTTTTTATCCCATCCCATTTTCTTTTTCCCATTTTCCTCTCTGTTTTTCCTATTTTTTCCCTCCCTTTCTCGCGGGCAGGGGGCCTGGCTGCTGCAACGCGGCTGTTTCCACCGTCGACCGGGAAGTTTTTTAATCGCGGGCCTTTGCCTCGTGGAGCCGGCCGGTCGCGGAATGGGGCTTTCCAAAGCCTCGGCCAACGTTCCATTTCGGCGTAACGGGAATCATTTTTTCGTATGCACGCAGCGTCGTTCTCCTTTTTCCGCCCTCTTCTTCCCCGGCTTTTGGTTTTTCGCAGCGGAGATTGCAGGCTGCGCGCGCAGTGTTGAAAAGCGCAACGCGAGGGAAATTATTATCCGAGAAAGACCATGCGGTTTGTTTCCTTCGCCTTTTTCTCCATATCCCGGGATGGAACCGCGGGTTACGACCAGCGGATCCCGTGTCGCGTTTACGACGATCAAAGAGCTGAAAGGGAAACGGTTGAAAAGGGATAACGTGTACACGGCCTGTCGCACGAGATATTAACAAACGGCTGTAACAGCGTTATTTATTACCGTGCAGAAGCAACAACTGGATACTCGAGTAAAAAGGTATGGAAAAGGAATCGATGGTTGCATAACCAAGGACGCGAGGAGCGACGAATAAAGCGTGGAAAGAGACACGAAGCCGGGTAGTCGACGCTAGGTCGACTTCGTAAAAGCAGACGAGGAAAAATAAGCGAGAACGCGTTTCGAGATAAGGATTAACGTTTCGATAACGAAGCACGAGGCATATAGAACGAAGAATTACTCGATCTTCAGCTTGCTGTTAGTCGATCGAAGCTGCAGTTGGTAGAGCGATTGCTTCCGAGTATAAAGTTTTAGCATGTTTCGACTCGCGAGTTCAAGATTTAGTATAGAGAATTCGGTTGATCGATTCTTCCGGGTCCTCACCCCTCGGATTCTATGCATTCGTCGACCGGAAGCGTGGCTGCCTCCAACGATAACACTCGGGACGCTTCGACTCGAGGCTCCCAGATTTCGCGTCAAGAATCCAGTCCATCCTTCCGGCTCCACTCTCTTTACCTTTCACGTAATCGGCGACCAAGGATTTCGCTCAAAACGTGACGACGTCGTATCAAATGGCGTCAGAGATCTTGGTAATTGGTTCCTAGGCTGGCAAACAATTGCCGATATTTTTAAAAAATTTTTTAAATATTTTACAAAGCATACAATTGTCTCCATGATCTGCTCGGAGTTTCAAGCTTCCCGTGACTTGAGGTTCCCAGATTCGGAGTCAAGAATCCAGTCGGTTCTCCCAGCTTCACTCTCTTTACCTTCCACGTAATCGGTGACCAAGGATTTCACCCGAAATGTGGTAACACCATATTAAATGGCGTCTGAGATCTTGGTAATCGGTTTCTAGATTGGCAAACAATTGCTGATATTTCTTTAAAATTTCTTAAAATGTTTTACAAGGCATATAATCGTCTTTATGATCTTCTGCTTGGAGTTTCAAGCTTCGCATGACTCGAGGCAGCCAAATTTGGCATCAAGAATCCAGTAGATCCTTCCGGCTCTAGTCTTTTTACTTTCCACGAAATCGGCAACCAAGGATTTCACCCAAAACGTGACAACGTCAAAGCAAACAGGGTCAGAGATCTTGGTAATCGGTTCCTAGGCTGGCAAACAATTGCCGATATTTTAAAAAAATTTTTCAAATATTTTACAAAGCATACAATTGTCTCCATGATCTGCTCGGAGTTTCAAGCTTCCCGTGACTTGAGGTTCCCAGATTTGGAGTGAAGAATCCAGTCGGATCTTCCAGCTTCACTCTCTTTACCTTCCACGAAATCGACGACCAAGGATTTCACCCAAATCGTGACAACGTCAAACCAAATGGTGTCAGAGATCTTGGTAATCGATTAATAGGCTGACAAACAATTGCTGATATTTCTTTAAAATTTATCAAAACTCGTTAAAAAGCATATAATCGTCTCAATGATCTTCTGCTTGGAGTTTCAAGCTTCACACGACTTAATGCTCCCAGATTTGGCGTCAAGAATCCAGTAGATCTTTCTGGCTCCACTCTCTTTACCTTCCACGTAATCGGCGACCAAGGACTTCACCCAAAACGTGGTAACGTCATATCGAATGACGCCAGAGACCTAGGCTGACAAACAATTGCCGTCATTCCTTCAAAATTTCTTAAAATATTTTACAAAGCATATAATCTCCTGCTCGGAGTTTCAAGCTCCGCGCACTGGAATCGCGACTACTCCAAGGTATAACCCACGGAATTCGTGATAATAGAATTTCCCCGTTCCCCCTGTCAACGCTCCCGAACACCCTACTCGAAAATCGACGAAATCCTGACCGGGTAGGACACGGGCAGCGTGTCCATCCGAAAACACGAGGCCAAAACTGGCGGCAGAATTTCGTCTGGCGACAAGATTTCGCGTGCTCGCGTTCACCCCGGCGAATTTCGTACTCGGCATTACCATGCGACCGGTATACCCGGCGCTACTTTCACGCATGAAATAATCACGCAGTCGAGCGGTGCTTCAGTTGCATAACTCGGTACGCGAGCGAGCACGTCGTAATCCTCGGTGCGCGGGGCCGGGGACCGGGGGCCGGGTACTGCCATGGCGAATGAACGGCCGAGAGAGGAGAAGCTGTGGAAAAAAGACAGGGAGAACCGAGACAGAAGGGGTATGCGAAACGGGTGCACGGAGAACGAGGTCGAGTGACCCACACGCGAGGCGGGACGTAGCAATCGAGCCCGGCCAGCCGAAAACGCGGATCATAAAGCTGCCTGAGGAGGCAGGCCGAGGGACGCGAGGTGGTATTCATAAGCGAGCGTGGTGTCGTCGTCTCGGTTGCAAAACAGGAAAGCGCGAGACACGGCTGACGCTAATGCGATTTGCGGGAGTCGCTGGCGGAGACGCGAGGAGGAGACAACGCGAAAGGTGAGGGAAGGGTGGCCGGAAAAGGACGCGGGAAAAGGGACGAAATTCCTGCTATTGTTATCGAACAGACGACAACCGTGGCAGGAGTGGAGAGAGAGAGAGAGAGAGACGTTAGAGACGTAGAGGAGAAAGAAACGAGGGGAGAGGTAGCGAGGACGCGGTTGAATTTTAGCGCAATGCCGGATCTTCCAGACCGCTACTCGAAGACAGACGCCACATTGTCTCCGAAGGATGTGAAGCGAAGTAGAAAGGGAGAAAAGCGTGTCTTTCCGAACGGCGGTGCCGTGAAGCGATTGCAAGTTAGCCGATACGTCGTGTGTCAGCCCCGATTCGCCCCCGGGCCTGAGAGAAGAGGGAAAAGAACGCGGCGAGACGCGAGCAGGGTAATGGAGAGACGATGGTTGAGGTAGCAGGGATGGGAGAGGTACAAGGGATGAAAATGAAAGGAAGGAAATGAATTTTCATCCCCTAACGGGAAGTGCGCGGCCACGGTGATCGACCATACGAAGCATATGCAGTGGCTAGACCCGCACGTGCACCGGTCTGGCGAAGCTTTTTCGTTCGCTGGCCCCCGCGTATGCAGAAAACTCGACGTTAACCGGTGCCAGCTTCGATATACTCCGCACGTACTGGCCATGTATCGTCCGATCGTGTTTCCAAAGCGGGCAGGAAACTTTTCACCGTCGGGACTTCATCCCCTGCACTGCCAGCCCCGCGCTCACCTTTGTGCAAAGTCACCGGCACGGCCGGGTAACCTGTGTATAACGGAGTCGCCTGTTCCTTGCTCCGGAGTAGACGCCGTGTCCTGATTCCTCGCGCACAGCTTCCGCGTGGATAAATTGCGAAATTTTTCCCCGAAAATATCGCCGACAGCGTTTCGCACACACGGTTATCGATAAACAACGAGTTCGCCGCTATCTCCGACGCGTCTTAGATTTTTCTACTTCGCCGAATCGAGTGAGAAATGTCGGTTAATGGAGCGTGGAACGAATGGCGGAGCTATGTCGAGAGAGAGTGTCGAGAATTCTTTCGCCATTTCCTGTTTTCGAATAACATTTTCGGATTTTCCCCCTGGATCCGCTATAAACATCCATATCTGTGATTTAAAGTCCCAGGGTGAGTCTAATTTCGAGATGTAACTATATCCAGTAGTTTAACGCTAAACGTACCAAGCGGTGTCAAAATCGTACATATAAATTGTACATTCGTTGTTATTTCCTTCCCTCATCTGACTTTTTGTAAATTTTTATATTATCTGATTATTTCATTTCTCGTGCAGGGGGTCCGGTCCGGCCCCATTCTGTTTTGTTGCATGTCGACTGGCCGCGGGTATCCTCGTATGGCGGTGGTACTAGAAGGG